GCTTATCCGCTAGTTCATCCCGAGGTGCTACACTGGGAGAAGAGGGTAGGCTGGAGCGAAGCCTGTTTTGGAACAGGCTGCCCAGGGAGGTGGTGGAGTCGCCATCTCTGGAAGCGTTCAAAAAACGTGTGGATGTGGCACTTCAGGACATGGTGGCGCTGGATTAATGGTTGGACTCGATGATCTTGAAGGTCCTTTCCAACCTTAGTGATTCTGTGGAGATGTAAATAAAAAACGACAAACCAACCAAACAAGCACAGGAGGTGAGGAAGAGGGAGCCCATGGTGTGTCTTAGCACTGCTGCTGGAAGGTGTCTTGGCTCACAGTTGAGCTTTCTTGCTTTGGTTCTCTGCGTGTCTCCCAGCTGCTTGCAAAGACTTCAGGAAAAAGCTGATCTGCATATTTTCACTCTTCCTTGTGACAAACCTTATCTGAGTAGTTTTACATAGTCTTCCACATAGTCATCTTCATTTCCATGCATTTTTCTCTGGGGCATTTACAGGTTGTGAAAGGTGCCTACCAAGGCTTCAGTAACAAAATACTTGACTCTCTAAGATCTCAAATTGCTGAAAGCTGTTAGTCTCAGTGCAGTTGTTTTTAACATGGGCCAGCAAAGAGAGATTGATGTTTTCCATGGTCAGATATAAGCCATCAGGCTTTGATGCGTTGATGTGTTCCGAGAACTGTCTTTACTGTAAACTGGGGGAGAATTAGGTTTATGTGTGAAATACAAAGATACACAAATAAAGGCCTTTGAGGTGTTCAGGGAAAGGTTATTCACATAAATTATTTGAAGTCTGTCTTCCTAGTAAAATAGAGAGCAAAACCGTCCTACGGGGTACTGTGTGACTGTGGTGGTACTAACGTTTTTGTAAATATGGTCAGATTTGGGGCATACGAGTCGATGCCGAGGCAGGAGAGGAAGGGGCTTTGGTTTCCTCTCCTCCCTGCTGTGACCTGATGAGCAAGTTGTGTTCGGCATCTCTGTATTGACAGACTTGAAAGCTTTGCTCAGCTTCACAACTTCAGGGTCTCAGGGATGTTCCAGCTCCTACATTAATGAAAAATTGCCCTAAAGACGAGTGTGAAGAGCTAGTGTGAATTATCCAGCATTTGAAAACAGGACAGCAGTGTGACGTGGGGGTGCGTTCCTGATCTTACACGTGTATCAAGATGCACAGATTCCCATTATTCTGTTTCTTATAGTTGAAGCGTTGGATCAAAGCGGTAAAAATGAATATCCATGGTCTCTGATTTCGCTAACAGTTCGTGTTATCTGTTGGCCTCTGAATGTCATATCATGTAGTAATCTATTTGAAGTATCTTAGCTTAATGTTTCACTTTTGACTTTGTAATTTTCTTTAATTTCAGTATTCCCAGGAGAAATCATGGATGAAAAGCTGTCTTACAAAGAATTCCTCGATCGCAATGACTCCTGGACGATGGATGAGAGAGACCTGTGCTTTGAGCCACAGCCTGTATTCAAACCCATGGAGATGGCTGGTATGACTGTGTTACTCTTAAAACTGTAACATCGGTTATCTTATCATTTGTCTAACATGATAGAGTCCTAGTCGCTATCCCTACGGCTGGTTCTATCCTTTTGCCTTGTACTCACCCCTGTGTTCTTTAGGACGTGTTGCTCTGTTTTCCTACAACGCGTAACATCTTGACACCAGAGTTAACTTAGCACGTCAAGCCCCCGACTCGCCCTACAGCATAGTCTAGCTGGTTAAAAATGAAGTTGCTAATCCAGCATGTTAGAGTACACAGAGTGTGAGTGAGCAGATTTCCCCCTGCCTTGGCTCACACAGCGATGGCAGTTTTTGGTTGACTCACACAGTGTAACCATTCTCGAGTACTGGGGCTTTCAGTGCAAACCTCTCCAAATTTGTTGACAGCCGAAAGCCAGTCTTGCCCCGGCGCTCAGAAATGCCAGTTCCAGCTGTCACGTAGCTGTGTCTGCAATGCAGGTCAGTCTGTTCCAGAGGCAGCCTGTGTAGCTGCTGACTCTCTTGAAAATTAGATGAACTTTGTATAACTTGCACCTGCAAAAAGATAGCCTTTCACCCAACAACTTTCACCTGATTTTCTCTCATTCTTGGGAAAGCTTATGGGAAATTACTTGCTAGCTCTTGAGGGTATGAGAAATATATGTGCTGCCCCGATTATATATAACAGGCAAGATACTGGCTGAAACAGGATAAAACTTTTTAACATGCATTTTTGAGCACTGTAGACCTGCTTGCTAAATTATTTTCTTGCTATCTGAATCTCATATTTACTAAGAGTTTCGGTGGAGAAATTATATATTGTTACAATGGTAAGAAATGATTCATGGAACAAGTGGAACAAAAGAGCCACTAGTTTCTGAAACACATTTGTTGGATTTTTCCCTCCCTTTGCTTTGTTAGATGAAAGAATGGGGTGTTGATGTGGTTATACTCAATAGCTAGATAACAAACTAGTTGATAGGAGCAATTTATATACCTAGCCCATCACCCAGTACTCTCTGGACCTAAATAAAGTAAATCTGTGGGTTCTCTATTGCATAAAAACACATTTCCTTAGGTTTCATGTCCTTAGAGTATCTTGTGCACCTGCACATGTGTAACGTACCACATACACTTCAGTACGAAAGTGCTCCTCCGTTACTGCTCTGATACTGTGTAAACAAGGGATTCTGCTGAGGGCTTAGTAGATTCCCATAACTGAGCAGAGGGATCAGAGAGGATAGACAAGCTTTAAGGACTTGTCAGCAGAAGGAGAAAAATGTGAACAGCAGACTCACAAAAGTATGCAGGTTTATTTAATATTTTTACCCACACCCTTTGGGAAGCAGTAGGATGATTTCCCTCCCAAGGAGAGAATTCTCTGGTCAATGGTGTAACAGGTCTCCTGACCAGCTTTGCTGTAATGCCTCGTTCCTTGGTGAGAAATACGGGAAATAACAGCTCAGTTCAGCTACTGGAATATTCTGCCACTTCTGTGAGCAGCTGAAAGGGAGCGCGTTTGAGTCTGCTCTGCTGTGGACTTTGCTGTTGTGCGTTACAAACACTGCGTTAGGATCTGCAGTGGGACCCAGCCCTGGCAAAGTAACAGTTATGAGCGAAGATGTACGTGTGTATTTTACATGCTACCTATAATACAACGACTGTTTTTAAACGACTGTTATGACGTAGAGTGAATAAAAATCAAACACTACCTAATTGCTTGCAACCTTTAAAGGTGCTGCAAGGCCCTTAATCACAAGTGCATCGTTATTTATTACTGTAACTACAGGTTACAGTACATTTAAACATGAAGAGTTCCTATTTAAATGATTTACAGTAATATGCTTTTATTAGTCCACAGTCATTGGCAGATTGGAACTGTGTCTCTGAACAGCTGAGGATACAAGTGTCTCTGGAAGTGAGCTGAAGAGAAGCTTTCACGAATGTTTTGCTCATCTTACCTGCGGCTGTCTAGCAGCAGTACTCTCAGATTCTTAACATTGTCTGGTTCATAATATTCTAAACAAGCTGCAAATTTTGAGCAAGTAGAAAGTTATTTTCAGGGCTCATGTAATTCAAGAATTGATAATTTCCTGAACTGGCCATATCCCATCCGTACAGTTCATCCCTCCCCACCTGGCTTTCCACGTTCTGCTGCAGTGTGTTTTGGTAGAAGCATCGCCTTGTCGTCAGAGCGGCATCGCTTACCAGTCGCAAAAACGCTGAAACTTGAGTAGGGCACAGACCCACTTCGAGTCTGCGGGGGATTTTTGGAGGTGGGAAACAAAAATTCATCCCTAACTCCTGCTCTCCCCACTTTTCCCCTCTCTCCCTCTGGAGCAGAGACGGGGCTTGCCGTGTCATCTGGACAAACAGGGGAGAGCATCAACTTCTCTTGTAGCTTTTAAGTTGGTTTCAGTCACGGTGCTTTTGTTGTATTTTGTTGTTGTTGAGTTGGAAAAAAGATAGCTGTTTAGTCGTGGTAATACTGTTTTCAACAGCTTACAATTACAATTTTCTGCAATTTACTCTGAAGCAAGACATTGTCTTGACATCTCAAATAGTCTGACAGGTTTATAAAAGAATTCATGCAGCTCACCTGATCTTGACATTTTGGAGCACCATGGGTATGTGAACATTTGAAGTTTGGCTGTCATCCCTGCAGATAACATGCCTGACAAAAATGAATAACAGCCTTCAACTGAATCCCTTGTAATTGTGCTTAACTGGAAGAAATCTGTGCAGTGTCTGAAAATCGGTGTGTGACAGCCATTTCGGGAACAAAGAGTTCTTCAGCTCCTGGGCAATACAACGTGTGAGAGTGTCGTGAGAAATGTCACTCTCCTGCAAGAGGCCACTCGAGTCGAAACCTCTGCCTGTCTGGAGAAGGATGCAACATACAGCTGGCCCAAGCCAGCGAGATGTGCTGGGGGTCATTGATCACCAAACACATCCAGGGCTTTATAAACTACGGCATAATTTGTTTGAGAGGGGAATGCCATGTTTCCTTCCCATTGCGGTGTCTTGCCCTTGACTGTTACAGTACAGTGACTAACTCATGGAAGAGTGGTCTTTTCTTTGTCTTATGCTGTCAGTGAGGTCATCCGCCTACTCTCTGACTCACGGTGTTTCAGTTAAGTAATCCATCTTATAAAACCCGGTGTGGTGGTTCTCTCTGTCCCATCTGGTTTGAATGACCATGCTGATTACTAGAGGGGAAAGGAGATGTGTGCATACAAAAAATAAGACTTGTGGAAAAGGAATTTTCTTTTGCTGAATCATCAGCTGCTAAAGTACTGTAAATCTGTTGCAGATAACATTGATATATCCATTTAAAAATGCAGAGCAAAGCTAATGCGCGTTAGACCAACCAAAGCTGACACCAGGCAACTTGCAAACGTGGACTGAAGATCCTGACAGCCAGTGCATCTGGTCTGGAACTAAGGGCGAAGGCTGCTTGTCTGCTTGGGACACTGGGAAATGTGTTGTTTTCCTCTCTGGCTTGTAATTTGGTTAAAATACTGGCCCATCAGTCAGTTTATCCTCGTGTACTGTTCTTGGGGAGGAGAGTGTGTAGCTTGCGCAGCCTTTCCTTGGTCTGCTGTCGAGTTAACTGATCCGGAGCTCAGCCGTTGTTCCTGACTTGGGTTAGCTGGATGTGTCCGTCAGGTCAGAAACAGATGCTTCCTCCTTCAGAGGAGCAGACAGGTTCTCCATGCAACAGTCATAATCTAAATTTTCATCAGCAATCTCAGTAACCATGTTTTACCGTTGGGCATAAATTCTAATTATGAAGGCGTTTGCCCCTGGTAAATAATCTTGAAAGGAGCTTTCCCTCAGAAGTCCAGTGGTGGTGTCAGCTGCATCTTCATCATCTTTTTTTATTCTGGATCATGTCTTCCCCTGTGTGGTGACACTGGCCTTGTTCTTGTCTCCTGCCAGACCCCTTCAGCATGCACAGAGGGGAGAATCTGCCTGATTTAGCTTTTCCTACTGACATGAAGAATGTGCCCCTGTTCATGGACCATGTTGATGCTTCCAGAGATGTCCATGGTGAGTTCCTCCTCGGCATTTGTCCTTGATGGTCAGGTTTTGATGTTTTCTCTATTGACTTTCATGGACTGAAAACTATTAGGCCGATAAGTCTGTAGACTATATAATCTCTTGACGCGATTTTTTTAAAAAAATTTTGTGTGTGCCTAAAGCCATTCCAATAGCTGCTTCCAGGAACGTTGTTTTGGAGTATGTTTAGGCAGAAGGAGACGAGACATCTAGGCAAGTTGAGTTGAAGCAGGAGTTACTAATGCCTCTTGCTGTCTTGACTAGAAAACAAATACACGTGGTCTTCAGCATTTGGACTATTGCAGTTTAAGCAGTTATTAACAAGAATTCACGGGAGCAGAAGCAGAAAGCAAAAGGGAAATAATTTGTCTGTGCTTACTGTCTTAAACCTTGTTAAAAACCGATATATTCATACATAATTTGCAGTGCAGTTTGTAAAGGTGAGCTAATTGAGAGAGTTGCTTACAAACTGTCTAAACTGCTTGTAAGCAGAACAAAATAGTTTTATTTTCCAAGTGTTGTATATACTTTAAATTATGGAGGGGAGTCACTAGGGCTACTGTGGTGATTAACAAATGGCCTTTTATTTCATTAGCACCACATGGATCTATGATGGTACCTGGACAACCTTTCTTGGGGCCCCTGTATTCTCCTGCAGAGGCTCTAGACCCATCAGCGTTCATTGGCCTAGATTCAACTGCAGAATTTCTGCAGGACAAAGCAGGTCAGAAACAGATGGTTGTCTTGCTGGCTGGGTTTGAAGGATGTGCAGCTGGAAGATTTTTGTGTGTTGATGCTAAAGAATCTTGGTGGGGGAGTTAAGTAAAACGAGTCAAGATTAGAAAGTATCCTATTGGCAATGGCAGTTCTTTGTTCAGTGTGCATGTTCTGAAGATGTTAGGACATCACAGAATGGTTAACGTTGAGGGACCTCTGGAGGTCATCTTGTCCAACCCCCCCGCTCAAGTAGGGCCACCAAGAGCCAGTTGCCCAGAACCGAGCAAAGAACCTGCTCTTTTGGGTCCTGGGGTCAGTGCTGGTTTTAACTCTTCTCTGATGCAAGCTTTCACGAGCAATAATCACAGAAGAATGTTCTGGTACTGTTCTTAAAGGGAACTGAAAAGTTACCTGAGAATGAACTCACAAACCAGCAGAGTCAAACCTTGAGCAAAGATCAATTGAAAAAATAAAGCAGTGTTAGTGTCAGTGGCAGGACTAAATGTGTTTGTTTTCCGTAGTGCCTGAAGAACATTGGATGGGAGCTCAGCATGATGTGAAGGGACCAGATGCCTCTTTCTTTGTTGAGCCACCAGGTAAAAAATAGTTTTTACTTGATCTGCAAGAACCATCTATAGACAGTTTCTGAACAGCAGAAGCAGAGATTCTCTCCTTGTCTGCTTTTTCAAGAAACACAAGGCTGTAATGGAGTGAAGTGAGACCTGACCAAGAAAAAGCTGTTTCTGGTTCTCAAATCAATTTAGAATAGAAATGCATGTTTTAAAGACGTGTTACTTAACATGCATTTTCTGGTCTAGTGCTGTAAGGTGTGGGGAGAACCCTGCATTTTATAGACTGTTTACTTCTAATTTAGGGTAACAAATTTAATATATGCAGTTCCAAGCCCAACCATCAGTAGATGTTAGTGGCATGCCCTTTTGAGGGCATATTGTGTAGCAGGGCCTTAACCCACTGAAAACATGCTATGGTTTTGAGGAATTAAGTTAGCAGACATAGATGTGTGCAAAAAAATATGTTTAGCAGCAAGCTCTTGTGGATTCCAGGCTGTCTCTCCATTACAGCAAAGGTACCATAATTTCCAGCTGGAGATGTCTGTTCAAGCATTATTTGACACTAAAATAATAAATAGGATGAGTAAAATGTACTCTTGCAAAGAAACTCTAAAAGTGGAACTTTACTGCTGTCACGGATTCTAGTCTTTGTACAGACAGAGTCAAATCTGCTGACTTGAGTGGTAAGGCAGAGCACTCGCGTTTACTCCCTCTAAGGGTCGGTGCAGCTGAGGGCACCGACAAACCTAGTTTTGGCTCATGCACAATCAACAGATTTTTAAAGTAAATTCTAGTTGCAAACCTGTGTATTCTGTCCAACTATCCTTAGACTCTGGTTACAGTTAAATCTTTGAAGCTCCCTTGGGACAGCAGTATGCATGCATATTATGATATTTGATCCATAATGGGGTCTTTATTACCAATTTAGGTGAACAAGCTAAGAACGCAGTGGTTTTAACACTGGTCCTAGGCAGAAAGTGTTTCTGGAGCTGGTGGCTCTACCTAGGGCTGAGGGTCTAACTGGGATGCTTTGTAACTGAACGTTTCTCAACTTGGTTATGGCAGTTGCTTCTGTCAAGATACAAATGTTTTCCTAGGTATTGCACAAACTAATCTTTTGAAAATTAACAATAAAAACCGATTCTGTTTTTGTCCGACCTGAGGAGATGCTGAAGTGGGGGAGCTTACTCATCAGGGTTGCTGCTGCAGGCAGCCCCTTGAGAGGGTGATTCACATCCTGGCAACTCCAGAAGAGAAAGATGTTTGCTGGGATCTGAGTGCTTAACCAAACTTCGTTTTGTGTGCCCAGTGCCCCCCACAGTGACTGAAGCAATAAAGCCGAATTTGCCGGAAAGTCCTGCAGCAGTGGCTCCTGGTTTCGTTCCTACTGCAGGAACAGCATCCCCAGGAGAGGCTGAAGCTACTGACAGACCAAAAGGTAAAGTTGCCTCAGTCTAAAGATCAGTGCTGGGTTCAGGCCCTCCATGAGCAAGCTGTAAGGGTGGAAAAAAGATGTGGGTTTGCCTCTTCTGAAGGAAACTCAGAAAGGTATTAACAAACTCCATTGTGGCCACAGGTTTGTAATACCCGAATTGTGTTGGTGAGAAATAGCAAGTCTACTCAACTTTTCAACTCTCGTGTCACAGTCCAGTAGCTGATTTAAGGATTCTTTACTTTCAAAATGTTAGCTCCAGAAAAATGTTAAGATGTGTCAAGAACATGGTTATACCACGAGACTGATGCTGTATACAAATACCTTAAAAATTCTCTGTTTTAAAGACTTCTTAAAATAGCATTTTTAAGGTATTCATATGAAGCATCAGACTCGTGGTACGTTTTGCACCAGTCTTTGTCCAGTTTCTTTATGCTTTATTCCAGTACTTTCCATGATTCACCAGGGAGCATCTATACTACTTTTAATACCTATTTCTTTACTGTCTTACTTTTCTGTACAATTGGAATCTTTAAATTTAATTTTGGAGAGGATCATGACATCACTTTAAAAAAAAGGCAAAACCAAATGAGGACTAGTGCATAATGGATCTTTTTGGTTTGGTTCACTGGAATATTGGTTTTATCTCAATGGACCCTGAAGTGCTATTTTAAAAGGAACTTTTTCCATTTTTCTAATTGCTTTCCTTTTTCAGTTTAAGTATCTAATTTAAGATTTAATATATTTTCCATTGTTTGGGGAGGATATTTTTGCATGTGACTCAATCAGTAGAACTTTTTTTTTTAACATCTACTCAGCAATATATCTGAAATGTTCAGGTCACCATGCTGCATTACACAGCATGTGGCTAGTGTTTGGGGCTGTTGAAATTAATGGCTCCAGAAGAGAAACCTAGTGCTTCTGGCTTTTGATAGTTTGTAAAAACTTGCCTTTAGACAGCTGAAATGTTAAATTAGAACTGACTGAAAAAAAACCTTTAAGGGGATCTTATGAAAATGCTAACTTAAAAGCAGAGGTTTGATTGTACTGTGAACTGACAAATGTTATTCTGACGCTAACAGCTCAGTGTTTAGTAGATACGAAAAAATGAACAAGGCCAAGTTGGGCATGAAAGAATAAAGGGCAGCTGGTGATGCACTGGACCGTAGTGTCTTTTGTGTCAAGAGTACCAGTGCTTCTGCTGAAGTTGCAGCACCATGAAGAGCGTAACAATATTTAAAATGAAGTGCCTGTGGTTCTGGAACGTTTCATGACTTTTTCTGCTGTTGGGATACACAGCTGGGCTAACAAAGGTGACACCAAAAGTTTCAGTGTCCTGCTACATAGGAAAAAACCCTCATTGTCATGATATCTGTTGGAATATATATATTCTGTTGGAATGTGTTGCAGTGGATCGAGCAGCTCTGTCTCTTCCCAGCTATGTAGCATCAGGTAGTTTTTAAACGAAAACAATGCATCACTTGGCTGATGTATGTTAGGAGCAGATGGGTGTCTAACGCTGTAGTCAAGGACACAAACAAGGCACATGAAGCTGTAGTAGCAGAAGCACTTGGGTGCCTTAAGGAATGTGATAGACTAGTACAACTTGAATACACTGGCGTAAGGGGGGAGTAAGGGGATGCTGAAAGACAAGAAGACAGGGAGCGAAAGCCCCGTCTTCTCTAGTCATAACACCACTCTGTCAGGTATTTACATTCTGCATTTTTTTGGTCGATTTCTGTGATCTGTGTTTCTCTAGCAGATGCAGCGTGTGTTCCTGCCTTGGATGTCATGTCCGTTTCTGCAGAAAAAGCTGGGTCCGTTCTTGCAGGAGCCACCGAGCCTCCTCAAGCTCTGGCTGCTGGCTTTGCCCCTGCAGCAGAAGCCAGCCCTCTTCAGGCTGTGGATGTTGGGTTTGCTCCCGCACCAGAAGCCAAGCCTCTTAATGCTGTCAATGATGCATCCGCCCCAGTGGCAGATACTGGCTTCACCCCAGCAGCAGATGCTACGCCCCATTATGATATGGATTTGGAGTTTGCCCCAGTAGATGATGCAGGGTTTGCCCCAGCGGCAGATGCAGAATCTCACTATGCTATGGATTTGGTGTTTGCCCCAGCAGCAGATATTACATCTCACCATGCTATGGATTTGGCGTTTGCCCCAGCAGCAGATACTAAATCTCATTATGCTACGGATTCTGACTTTGCCCCAGCAGCAGATGCAGAGTTTGCCCCTGCAGCGGAAGTCAATCACCATCTTGCTGTGGATTCTGGGTTTGCTCCTGTAGCAGAAGCCAAGCCTTTTCCTGCCATGGATTCTGAGTTTGCCTCTGCAGAAGCTAAGTCCGTCTCTGCAGCGGACACCAAGGTTGCTGCGGCTGAAGAGCTGATGACGTCCAAGTCTTCTTTTGAGCAAGACAAGTCACCCTTCCACAAGCCTCCTGCAGGTGAGCGTGCGTGCCTGAAAGCTTCCTTCAGCCTTGAAATAGCACGGCAAGCGGAGTGAGGAGGCCGCTCTAAGTTGGCATATCCCTAGGAGCAGCACTCCTGGTAGCACACGGCGATGGCTGCACAGATGCACAACTGTCATAAGACTCTCAAATAAAAAGCATAGTTTTTCATAGTTAAGATTATGATATTTCTTGCACAAAACATCTTAAGTAGAGCTCAGTTCTGCTGCCAAGATACAGACAGAGGAAGTGCTTCATGGGGATTTTTTGTTTATAAAACACAAAGCTAGAATATCTTAATTTTTTTGTTTGTGGGTTTTACTTGGCATTCTTAGCAATGATTTTTCAGGATCGCCATAGAGACATTTTAGTTCATCCCCGTTAGTATCATCCTTTTGTATCAGTGTCATCCACAGCATATACTGAAATCACCACAGATCCTGTAGGACACAGTGTTTTGTAACAAAGGTTCTTATCTTGAAAACAGTTTCTGATTAGGCTGATAGGCTTTTGTTGATAATTTTGTCACGTATCCTTGGAACAACTGTGGGCAGCGAAGTGACGAGGTGGGCATGACGGTTTTTTCCCTGTGGAGGACAACAGGTTTTCTCTGCTGCATAGATTTCTTGACATTGTCCTTCCAGATAGAAAATTGCTGTCAAAATATAGCAAATAGTACCGGGCAGGGGCAGTATATGTCGACTGATTGCAGAAAGAGTCGGAGTGACGTATTTTCTCTCTTAGCTTCCAATACTCTTTAGTTTAACGATAGGAATAAATTTCGAGAGAGACGTTTTAACAAAACAATCCCTACTAGAGTGTTGTAACTGAGAGGCATAGGTGGAGAATGAAAGAGTAAATACCAGACAATACAGGAAGATTTGCTTTAGCAGAACACTTAGGCTTTCAGGAGAGGATTCCTGGTAGAAGGTGATTCTAAAAAGCAGATTACCACTGTTTTGAAAGTGAGGAAAAACTTTAGTTTCTCGTTAAAGATAAGAACTAGGTGAAGAAGTGATTATCTTGCTTAATCTGATCTAAACTAAAAATAATGTGGTGGTTTTATTCTTTACATTCCATTTTCAGAAGCAACGACAAACGTGGAACAAGAATCAAAAGTCCCAGAAGCTTGTGTTGATTTCTTAGAGAAAGCTCAAGACAGCAGACCACCTCCCAGCCAGTGTGAAGAGCATCTTCCTGAACAGACAAACCATCTTTCAGAACCAGCAGGTGAGAAATGCATACCGCAGTATAAAACTGGAGCCAGCACTTTGCTATCAGCTAATTCTGCCCCTAAGTTCGTCCTCACAGACCCTGTTCTCATGTTGTTATAAACAACAAAGCAACAAAGGTTTAATTTCAAGAAGGTTACTAGTGTGTTCAAGCATGGAGACTGTTATAAATAGGTGGTAGTCTTAACATTTGAAGTTACCATCATATAACTTGTCTTTTTCTTTCTCATCCATAGTTGTTAGAATCACAGAAATCATTAAGGTTGGAAAAGACCTTTAAGAACATCGAGTCCAACCACCAACCCACCACCACCATGCCCACTAAACCATGTCCCCAAGGGCCACGTCCACACATTTTTTCACCCCCCCCAGGGACGGTGACGCCACCCCCCCCCCGGCCAGCCTGTGCCAATGCCTGACCACTCTCTCAGTACAGAAATTTCCCCCAACACCCAATCTAACCCTCCCCCGGCGCAACTTGAGGCCGTTTCCTCTCGTCCTGTCGCTGGTTCCTTGGGAGAAGAGACCAACCCCCACCTCACCACAACCCCCTTTCAGGCAGTTGCAGAGAGCGATGAGGGCTCCCCTCAGCCTCCTCTTCTCCAGGCTGAACACCCCCAGTTCCCTCGGCCGCTCCCCATCAGACTTGTGCTCCAGACCCCTCCCCAGCTCCGTCGCCCTTCTCTGGACACGCTCCAGCACCTCAACGTCCTTCTTGTCGTGAGGGGCCCAACTCTGAACACGGGATTCGAGGTGCAGCCTAGTTGTTGTACCAACATCTGTCATAATTTTTATTTCTATTCAAAATTTAAATAAAATGAATTACATATAGAATTGTTCTCCAAAGTAATTATGTTGTACAAATTAAAACTTGTTATAGTTATGTGTAGCTAGGAATTTTGTAGTGTCTGCTTGAATATATTGTAAGGTGTATATGAATACGAGACGACTAGCATTAGATGGGGCCTCCAGACTGATAATGGAGTATGTTCTGGATTTGAATTCCGGTGGAAGGTAGTAAAGTCTGAATTTGGTTGATTAGAAAGAAGAAAAAAAATAAAACAACAAATGCTCACCCTGTGCTTAAGCCCCAAGACAGTCTTTGTTTTATGTTTTACCTTCACCTTGGCATGCCTGCCAAAATATAAAACTGCTGCTTAAAATGGGATTGTGAGGAGATAATACATGGTAGACTACCATATCTTACAAACTTCATCCCTATTAAAACTAAAAATAAAACCTATACCCTTTCCAAGGGCTTGCTTTTAAACTGCAGGTTGCCTGTATTCGTAAGAACTGAAGCATTCTGTTCATGTTTTTCATGTTTCAGTTCCAGTAGAAGCAAAAGAAGGTGTTGCACTAGAAAATAAAGACCTCCTTCCAGAAAAATCTGTTACTGCTGTGGATGTTACTGTTGCAGAAAATAGAGAGAAACAAGAGCACAACCATGTCCAACATGCAGAACCTCAGCAAGAAAAATCCCTGCCAGAGCCCACAGGTAGAAAATAAATACTAATTCAGTTTTAGAATGGATGTATCCTCTCTGAACTATTCACCTTTTCCTACCGACTCCGTTGCCACTTGAGCAAGCAGAAATCTTTTTTGCACTAGGTAGCTGTGCGGTTCTTCACATTTCGTGGGTGGATTCTGCTTGCACTTTGCTTCTAATCCCTGCGCTCTTCAAGAGTCTTTCCCCTCCATGTTCTCTGGACTAAAAGCCCAAATATGGGTGCTGCTATTACTTTATCACTGGGACTGGCTTATGTCTTTTCTGCTGTAGAATTTAAAAGCTCACCATCTTTTTTGCCATTACCGCTAGGTTTTTATTCTGGTATTAAAAAGGACCATTAATTCTTATTACAGTATTCCTAGTGAAGACCTCCTTCCAAACTGAGCTTTGTAATTACCAAAGGGAAATGTAATTTTTTTTTTTTTCTTGCTCCACTAACCCAGCCTCTCCAACGAGCTGTTACTGCTTACACTTGTGACTGGAGGCTTATTTGTGGGCCAGGGCTAACTGACAAACAACTGATGCTCTCTCTAAAATCAGTGGCTTGTAGCTAAGGAAACCTAGCACTGCCTGTAATGGAGTACAGCAAATGACTTCTGTTATGAAGGTTCTGCCTTCCGCTGTTTCCACTGGGGGTGCTGGGGGAAGCTTAGCTCTTTTACTCCCCCTTCCCCATTATACCCCTTCTCTCCTCTCTAGTCTCATCTTTCCACTAAACTTCTATTTTCACATTTTGGAAGGATGCCAGCTAGAGATATAAAAAGTGTATCTGTTATCTTGTCTTGCTAAGACAAAATGGATCCCTTAATGTATTTTTAAATAAGCGATAACACGTCCTTACAAGAGCTGTTGCTTTTTGGTGGGGTAAGAGCATGTATCAGGAATTACGTATTTTTAAATAGCATTGACATATTTATCGGTAGTAGTTTAAATAGGTTTTGCGTGTAAATGTCTATCCCAGCCTGGCTGAGGTGGCTTTAGAATTAGTGTGGTATCAGTGCTGGAAAATTCTGCATAAATGACTATATGGACTGTTTTAGATGGCTAAATTCACATATCTAGTATATTTATTTTTTTATAAAGCAAATAGTCACTTTGATGTTTGAGCAGGCTTCCTGTATTCCAGGTCTACCTACTGCACAAATAAGGCAAGCTAACAAATCAAGTGAACGCAGGTTTGGCAGAGCAAAACCTGCACCAGTGCCTGTTACAAACGTACCGGAGGACCGCCTGATAGGTCTCCCACAACAGAAGAGTACTGACCCGAAAGTAGACCCCTGTTCTGTAGCAGAACTTGGATGTGTTGCTGGAACATCCCCTCGCACTAGGGTTTCACATAAAAAGGCAGCTGAGCAGCCATCCAACGTGCCGTCGGAGTTTCTGAAGAGCTGCGGAGATGCACCAAGGGAGAGCTGGGATTCGGAAGGCTCTCTGGCCATTATGAAGAAAAAGAAAAAGAAACCAAAACAAAAGAGAAACCAGCTGCCAAGAACCATGGAGTTCTGGGATGAAAATGTAACAGTCTCAAACGCTCCTAGAAATTCTCCATTTGCTGTTGAATTGCAAAAAACAGATGTCTGTCCCATAATGCCTGCTGAAGCCCGCAAAGAACAGTCAATTGCTGCAGGAAGCAGAGCTTTAGCTATGCCAAAGGATGCTAAAATAAGGTCTGGAAGTCATATCCTGGATGACCAAAATACCTTCTCAGTGCCAGCACCAGGACAGCAGGCCCAAAAACCCAACGTGTCATTAGAATCTGTGCTGGATGCAAAAAATGGGGATGTCATGAAAACAGAAGAAATGAGAGATGACAGTTTCATGTTGCAATCTAAAGGCAAAAGACAAGAGGCTCCCTTGGAGCAGGTAGGCAAGACTAAGGTGGGGGAATCAGTTACAGCAAAGGGGCCAACCAAGCCTATGGAAAGAGATTTCCTTGATAAAAGTGAGAAGAGGGAGTATAAGGAGTCAAAATGTGCTGACCTGACAGCATCTCTTTCAGAAGCGATCAATCTAAGCAAAGTAGAAACTCCTTTACAGACCAAACCTTCAGAATCGCTCCTTTCTGATAAAGATAAGAAGGCTAATTGCACATCTCCCAGGAGTGAAGCATTCGGTGACGCTGCCCATCGTGAGCTTCAGACTTCCAGTGGGTCACCGGAAGCAGCAGCAAAGAAAAGAGATAGTTGTCACAAAAGCGAAGGGGTTAAAAATGAATCCTTCAAACAGCCTGCTCTTCTAGAGACTGCGGCCCCGTCGGACGAGCTTCCTAACGAGCCAAAGGCAGCTCATGAAGCTAAACCAGTGTCTTCTGATAAGTGCATGGCCACTGACTCTACTACTTCAGAGGGAGTGTTGAAGACCCCAACAGATACTACTAAAATGCCTGTTCCACCATCAGTTTTATCAAACCCCAAGGAAGTTACTGCTTTGCAAAACAGAAAGGCTGACAGTTTTTCACAGCAGCCGTTTCTTCTGTCGGCTAAGTCTGATACAGCCAAACATCCCGCCTCTGCCGGAGCAGCAGGCGGAGTGATGGTAGCAGATTCCCCTGATAAAAACAAAGGGAAAGGATTTATTGCGTTAGAGCAGCAGACTGGAAAAGATCCCAATATTGCACACGGGGTGGACAGGCCTAAAAAAAAGCATGGTGAAGGGAAAGTAAAAAAAATCAAAAACTTCTCTGAGCAGATGATGCTTTCAGAGGATGTAAGCAAATTTAATGATGGAGTGAGGACAGATGAGACTATAAAAGAAATGACTTTCCCCGATAAAGGCAGAGGTTTTACTGCGAGAGGACATCAGTCAGTAAGCATTACACATGCTCATCCTGCAGACAAGCCAAAAAAGAGAGGTAGTGATGGAAGAAGTAAAAAAGGTGAAAGAGGTTTTTTCCAGCCACCTTTTCTTGAAACTAAGATGGACCCAGGTAGTTTTCCTGACATAATTGATAAAACTAGGGAAGCTAGTCTTGGTGATAAAGGCAGAGAGAGGGGCTGTATCACTGCCGAGTGTTTTCAGAAGAATACATCAGATGTAAGTAAAATGCAAAGGCCCATTGAACAGGCGACAGAGGAGCGTAAAGAAAATGTTGGAAAAAAACAAATGGCTGATTTGGGTGCTTTAGACCAACCTTTCCTGCTGGAGAGTAGGAGAGGGGAAGCAAAGCATCTTGCTATGACTGACACGATCAGCAAAGCAAAGGAGGTAAATGTGATGAATAAAGGCAAAGAGGCTGGAATTACTTCTGCAGGTGAATCAGTTGTGATAAATTCTGATGCAGCGCTGGTGGCAGAGAAACCTAGAAAGAGGTGTAGCGATGGGAAAAGAAAAAAATCTGAAAGAAGTCCTTTGGGGCAGGCAGCTGTCCTGGATGCTGGGGTGGAAACCAGCAGTTTTCCAAGCAAAGAGAAGGTAGCTGGAAACACAAAGGAAGTGACGTTTGATAAAGATAAGGTGTCTGGTTTTGAAAGAGAGCTTTTGCTGGAGAATCTGGCAGGTACAACCAAAGAGGTGCTGGAAAAGCCTGAAATACAGGGTAGCAATAGAAAAAGTTCCTCTAATCAGCCGGTTCTTTCAGGTCATAAAATAGAAACAGCACAGCCAGAAAGAGTCAACACTAAAGAAACTCGGCCCGTGACTAAGGGACTAGATACGCCCGAGCCTCTCCCAGAGCACAGGCCAGATGCAGCTGTGGCACACGGTGCCCCCGGGGAGCTGGTGGGGGACAAGCCTAAGAAAAAAAGTAGCGATGTGAAAGGCAAAAAGGCCGAAAACAGCCTTGAGCACGCTGTTGTACCGGGTCCCGGTAACATCCCCGCAGTAGGTGAAGAGGTGGGAAGTATTAAACAAACCCAGTCTTTTGATAAAGGCAAAGAGACTAATTCCAGTACTGCAGCGAGTCAGCTAGATGCCCTGCCTGGTACTGCTGAAGTACGAGCTCCTGCTATACCTCTGGAGCCAGAAAAATCACACACAAGTAATAAAGAGAAATGCAAAAATACGGAGGCGAACTTGCAGCAGTCATTTCTTCTGGAGCCTAAAGCAGTTGCAGAGGTGTTTTCTCCTCGTGGCGTGGCGATAACTGACAGACCTGAAGCAGAAAGTCCCGCTCCCTGCAGCGTGGCGGGCGGACTTCCCATCCCAGAGCATCCAGCAGTGGCAGGTCACGCTTTGGCCACAGCTGCTGATAGATCTAAAAAGAGGGGTTATGATGCAAGTAGTAAGAAGGCTAAAAATGCCTCTGAGCAGCCTGTTTGTCTAGAGCCAAAAGCAAACAGGAGGGAGGTACAGCCTCCCATAGGATCTGGGATGGAATATGGACTGGAAGACATGGATTTGGTAGATGAAAACAGAAATATTAAGAACTTTCCCATTGGCCCTCAAATGCTTTGGAATAGTAAAGGGAGCGACTTGGAATCTTTTGCTCATACGGCCGTAACTGGCCCCGATAGCGCTGGCAATGTTTCTTCTGGCTTCCCAAAGCAGACAGATGAGGGTGCAAGAAGGAAGGGGCTTCCTCCTCCTGACGCAGGAGCAGAGAGCAGCAGCAAAGCGCCCGGAGCTGGTGCTAAGAAGGAGATATGGCCACAGAAACCTTGCGAGCAACCAATCAAGCTGGGACACAAAGAGCCTGGAAAAGAGGCTTCGAAGAAAGGTGGTAAAACCAAAGAGGCTGGTTCCCAGGGTGGGACTGAGGCAGGTAAACCACTTTCTTTGGACCTTTCAGTTAAACAGGACATTAAATCAAAGAAGGACGAAGTTCACCTTTCTCCTGTGGCAAAGGTGGACGATAAAGAAATAAGAACCACTGATAAAAAGCAAAACACTGACAGCACTTCCTCAGACCTTCCGCAGAAGGTGGCAGATTCAAAAAATAGTCCGGCTGCTGCAGGTGCCAAAGGGACAGAGAAGCGAGAAGCGACTGTCTCTCCTGGAGAGAAGGACGCTGGGTGCGTTTCCCCAGAACCTGCAGCGGTACCAGAGCACGG